GAATTCCAGACCAGAATTAGGTGCCACTCGATTGAAAATGAACCACAACCTAATGCTAGTGTAACTCGGCTTCTCGTTGTTCACACCATACGCTTCGATGAAACTAAATGGACTTTCACCATCCCAAAGGCCGAGCTTGAGGGCCTCCGACTTCACATTAGGCGAGAACATAAAGTCATCCGGATCGTTCTCGTCGATCTCCTTGATAGTGTACTGATTGGCAACAGCTGCCACGTGACCAGCAGGGACCCTTTGTGCAGCCCAAATAGCAGATTTACCAGTGGAGTCATGACTAATATCAAATACCCAAGCGGAGCCGTTGGTGTCTGCTATGGTGAGTGACTCACCAGCTCCAACAGACTCAGGGTAGAAGCCATACTTCACAGCAGTAGCGCCCATCTCCTTGATGGCACACTCAGCAGTTGAGCATCTCTCCATCCCAATACGGATGAGCTCCTTGATACTGAACTTAGCCTCACCGTATTCACCAGTCTTAGGATCAGCAAGATCAACCCCGAAGCCACCAGGGACCTTGGAGGTCGTACTAGACTCTCCTATCGTGAGACCTTCCTCGTTCATAAGGGGATAGTTGGACTCCCACATACCGTACGTTCGCGGTACCTCAGGGATCCTAGCACTAGGCTCGGTGAAGTTCTTCCCGTTCGGGGGTAAGTAAATAGCAGCACGATCGTTGTAGGCTCGAGGATAGGGCTGATTAATGCCGAAAACATCATGCTGTTCGCCTTCCTGGTGATCACGACCAGGCACCAGAGCAACTCTAGAATCACAAATAAAGCAATCGGCCGAATGGGCTAGCATGGCCACACCCGTACTTGATGCCTCTTTAGAGATAACTACTGTCGTACACGCCCAGGTCACCGACGCGGGCACGGCTAAGACAGCGACCAGAGTAGCAGTAGTTGAGGGAAAACGCATGGATAAAAACAGTGGAACTTAAATCAATCTCCAATGGGCATAAATTTAGCCGTCTCGGGGCAAACGATTGTGCACAAAATTCACAAGGCGAACGATTTCACCCAAAACAAAACATGATCTTGCTATCCTTTGTGGCTCAAACTTGAGATCTATCCTGTTGAAAGCTAACTTTCATCAGCTAAGATAGCATCCACCTATGATTATGCTGCTAGCGTGGCCGACCTGGGAGAATCCCATAGTGTCACAGTCACACCTATCGTGGCCTCGTTCAATATTGTCCCCCATCAGCAATGAACGCAATACATGTCCCATGAAGATAACAGGACTGCCACCCGTTACACGAAGAGAAAATTTTTACATTTCTCATCTGATTTTTTTATAGGTTACTTTTATTTGTGGTCAAAAATCAGTGGAGAACGAGAGTGGCCGAACTGGCTTATGCATTCACAATAATAGACCACTTTCGTCGCTTACCGCCTAGATATGTTCACCGAACGAGCAAGAAAGTAAATTTTGCTAAATTTTTGGGTCGTTCAGGACAAACGGTAGAGCGTCGTGCTGCACTCGGAATATCTCTGGCTCGGCTCCTGCGATGCGCGGTACTGTGGTATCCTTTTAGGTAGGGACCCTACAGTAGGGTCAACACTCCCTTAATCAAACTTAAGGCATACTTGAGTTTAGCCTTGCGTACGCATGGTCTGGTATGCTATTCACAGATCCGCATCAGAACCTAGTGTTCATGAAGTACTCCTATACCCGAGACGCCTTTAAGTGTTTTCCAAAGTAGTAAAATGTCTAGTGGGAATCACTTGAATCTACTCAGGGCTTACCTAGAGTTTTAAGCCCAAAGTGCTCCTATGAATGAGGTTCGGAACTTCTTACTGAATGCGCATGCGTGCAGGGCGCGCGACCACTGTGGCCGTCCAGTGTGGGGTGATACAGGTTTCGCCAACCCGGATTTCGCCAAAATGACACCTAACGGGTTTCAAGACTCTTGGACATGTTTGTTAGGCAATATAAGGGCAGGGACAGATTCGAACAATTTGGCGAAATACCAGGCATAGCGACAAATTTCGCCACATAGTTGTTGCGACATACGGGTTTTACCAAAGTTGGTCAAGTCTGGAATACGCAGGGTTTTGCCAAGTTCCTTGTTGGCGTAAGACGGTGCTGAACCCTGTTTCGCCAATCCTTACACCGTACAGGTTTCGCCAATTCCAGGTCGTTAAAGCATGTCAGACGAAGAAAGGTCCTCGATCGGCTGTGATGATGACACACCAACTTTTTTGTAAGTACTATGGTGGAGTGGTTAGAGGTCCGCGCGATAGATCGGAAGGTCGGGCGTTCTATGCTCGGAGCCTCCGAGTCGGAGAGTATTTAATCACTCGAATCCATCAAAAACATTCTAGAATACTCTGATACCGAACCGATGTCATCGATCAATAGGACCAGCGCAAATCAATAGTATGGTAGATTTAGAAGTAGTATTCATTATGAGCGGGCTCCAAGACCTCGTGACTAACCCGATGGGCGGTGTCACAGTCTATAGGTTCTGTAGCACTGATTATTACGCTGACCTTTTGGCTAACCTTAGGGGTAATATGATAGATTTGATAGCAGCAATGCTTAATCACGGAACGCTGTCGCGAGGTAAGGGACTGATATGGAAGTTTCTGTGCTTTCTGTAAACTGCTTGCCTAGTCAGATACAACAGTGACAAGATGACAGCAACGACGAGTTTCTTTGATCGTTTCCGAATGGATTGTTTGTTGTGTTGCGTAGTGAGGGAAG